AGGCTACGGTCGAATCCCGCAGTGTATCAGCCCTTCCCTGCAGTGCCCGCTGCTCAGGCATGGCTAGCCACCTTTTCTGAAGATCGCTTGCGCTACCCGGTGCTTGTCGTTCAGGGACCATCCCAGACGGGGAAAACGGAGTGGGTGAAGTCCTTGTTCAAGCGGCCACTCGAGCTCAAAGTGGGTTGCTTGGAAGTGTTCCCGGAGGGCATGCGTGCCTTCGAGAGGGAGACGCACGATGCCATCATCCTGGATGATGTGAGGGACTTGAAGTTCATTGCGGAGCACCAGGACAAACTGCAAGGCAAATACGACGCTCGTGTCGAGTTTGCCACCACTCCCGGCGGCACCTGTGCTTACAGCAAGTACCTCTTTGCCGTGCCAGTGGCCATCACCATTAACAACAGTACTCGAAACCTGGAGTTCCTGCAGACGCATGACTGGCTCAGCTCGAGCCGCAACCGCGTCCTGATCCAGTTCCCAGACATTTTGACTGAATCTTGACATGAGTGTATACGTGTTTCACAGCCAACGCAGTCTTCGGGCAGTGCCACTGCGGTACAGAAAAAGAGCGTCGACTTTCCTGTCAAGCTACACAGGCTAGAGTCCCGTGCTAGCGCCCCCATGGCTATCTGAGGCAGCGGTTCTACCGGCTCTGTGTGTGTGTGTGGCACTCCTGTTCCGAAGGATCTGGCTCAAAAGGCATTTAAGATGCAGGGGGCACGGCGCCACAGTTCGAGCCGTGCCAACGAAGCTAAGAACTGTGGTGGAAGCACCCACGGACGCTTGAGTGTGTACCTGCATTCGGATTAGCCACTGGCCCCCCTGTGGCACTGACTGGAAGAATCAGAAATGATGGTGTAGATGACGAGCGCAAACAGCATCCATCTTAGTCAGGATGACTGGTCTGCGACTCCTGCTCCGAAGGAGATGTAGGATGTACAAGTTTGTATCGAAGCAGGGGGAGGGAGCAACCCTGTGGAGCTCCATCTAACAAAGCTCTCCGCAGTGTCCTGAGGCTATCGTCAGGGACGCCTCGTGACGTACCCGCACTTGCATGTGTGACAAGGGCTTGCAGGCTTGAGCGTCTGATGTGGCCTGCTGTACTAGGATGCACACAGGACACACGCGCTTCTCCACGCAGCTGTGTCGGCACCATGCCCCTAGTGCAGGAGGTGAGGCACCCGCAGTCGCTCGACTTTGCGAACGAGCGCAAGG